TCTTAAAGGCATATGTCTCCAATACTGGCTGTATCCCTGAACACACAGAAATCTACCTAGCTCTTCTAACCACCACGCTCTTGCTATGGCTCTAATAGCTCTGACCCCAGGGCAACTTTATTTATTAATATAAAATTAAAATCACATTTCAGTACAAATAAAATATTACCATAAGAAATAAATTCAGGATGCTAATAAAGTTACTTCTAAGAGGAGAGGGAAACAAAATGGCTTGACTTCAGCCCTGAGTGAAAAACTTCATAGCAAAGGCAGGAGCAGCATTCTCAGGGCCATGCCAGTGCAGTCACAAATGGATAGAGAGGCTAAGTGTCCTTTGACCTTTATGAAAAAAAAAAAAAAACATATAGAAAAGACTCAAGGCCTTTGCAGAGTAAGGCATTAGCTAATGGCCCAGATGATGTAAGTCTGAGTTGCATTTTTTGGTTGATTTTATTACTTACATTTCTTGTTTTTAACCCTCAAGCCAAGTTTCATACAACATAATTCTGTTCCTCTGAGTTGTGTTTCATGTTTAATTTTGTTCAGTTATTAACCTATAATCTCTAAACTTCTTCATAGAAGTTATTTTTTCTCAGAATGAGAAATTACCCAACACAGAATGGAGTCTGTTTTTCTAGCTTGGCAGATACCAGGCACAGGGACATTTAACTCAATTATCTTAACAACTGGAGCCTTAGGCATAAGCATCTCTATCCTTGAGTGTTAGTGAATACCAATGGGCAATACTGCAATTTTCAATCCATTTGTTCATGGCTATTCCAGAACTGCAGAATCAAGAACATTTTTCACACAAATTTATTTTCAAGATCAACATTAGATAATGGTAATTTATTTAGCTTGGGTATTATCTTTTAAACCTAAGAAAATAAGCTTTAAAAGAATGCAAAAGGTCATCTCCTGAATGATTCCCTCTTCATGCAATTTATACAAAACTATTATTGCCGGAAAAATTGTCTTATTATTACAAGTTTAGACATTTGGAATTGATCATCCCTTATGAGTTCTTACAAACTCTTCTAAAAAGCTTGCTGACTTATTACTCCATGTTACAGTGGCTCATTCTCTCTGACTTTTCATTCATTAGGCTTTAGAGACATGCATTCTTAATGCTTTGATCTGCCAGAGGTTCTGTATCTTACACATAGATAGCCTATATCCATATGTAAAGTGGATGTACAATATTGACTCAAATCATTTCACCTTTCAGCTAGTAAACATATAATAGATCTCATGATGATATTTTCATAGCTATATATCATTTTATATTGTTCTCACTCACGTTCAAATGCCCCTTTCAGCTTCACTGCTTACTATTTCTAGAACCTTTCCTTTGCCAAAATAGTTCCCCCTCTGTTTTCATGTCACAAATACAAGTGTGTATGTGTATTTGATTTTGTATATGAGAAGAAAGTGATATTTTCTTTTTCTTCTCTCTTTTACACTGTCTCTTATTCTTAATTTCCTCTTCCTTTCAGAATTCTTCCTCCCTCAGCTTCGGTCTCCTTATATTTTATGTCATATATGTATAGATTTTTACATTTAATTTTTATTCTAGATTTGAAAGAATAAAAATTCTTTTCTTCTACTTTTACATGTGAAATACTATATAGAATTATTTGTATATATAATCCATTATGCAGTGGACATCTGGTTAGTATTTTATTATTTAAATTTGTTGTAACTATTGTATATATTTCTAGGCAAAATTCTATATGCCATACATATATGTTTATATACAACACTTTATTGAGATAGACTTAAATTTTTATTGTATTAAAGTATTTTATTTAATATATTCTAGTTACTGCTCCATTCATAAATACTAATCAGATACTATTCAATTCATCACATTTAACTTGCTTTATTAAAGCATAATATTTATACCAAATATTTTAAGTGAATCACAAATTTGAGGTTACATTCCTATACAAAACTTCATGTCTTTACTTTTCAAAGCTTTTTACGTTTATCCCACTGTATAATCAAAATCACAAGTGTTTCATCTTCAATTCACAAGATAAGCTCAATGCTTGCTATTTTGGTTTTCTGCATATTTAGGCATCACTGAGTTCATTATATTTTCAATAATTTTTAAAACTTATTTACTTTTAGAATTAAAATACAATTCCTTCACTTTCCCCCTTACTTGTCTTTCCTCCAACTCCTCTTACGTCCCTCCCATCTCCTCTCACATTGATGGCCTCTTTCTTTATTGTTATTGTAACATATCGTGTGGCTTTTTGTATATGATTTTAGGGTTGATCAGGCTCATCTGGGAGAGAGACTCATTCTGCCTCTCTCAACAGTCATCAGCTTCTTGTGTTATTAGCCTAGTGGTGAGACCCCATGAGACTGCCCCTTCTTCCTTAACATGTCTACTGATATTGTCATGGCTTATATCTTGTTTAGGCATTGTTGAAATATCATGGGTGAATCTTCACCATCATTTCTAAGAGATGTACTCTCACAGCAGACTTCCTAGATCTCTGGCTCTAACAATCTTTTTGCCTCTTCCAAGATGTTTCACGTGCCTTGGGTGCATGAGTTGTCTTGCAGATGCATAGGTTGGGATGCGCTTTCATGAACAGTTGTTGATCTCTGCATTATGACCTGTAGTGGTTTCCTGTAAGGGTGTCCATTTGCTGTAGAGAAGTTTCTTTCATGAAGGGTAAAAGCTAAACTAATTGAGTATTTGGATATGTTTTAGCATTAAGTTAGAATTGTGGTGGTTTAGTAAGATGATGTTAGTAGATTCTTTTCAAAGAAGCATGATCTCATTAGTTAGGTTAGGTGACTAGGTTTCTAGTACCAGGAATGATTTCTCTTATATTGAATAGGCCTTAAATCCAGTAAGACAGAAGTTTGTTGCTGGCAGGATATGAATGTGACTATTGTACTATTAGGGATATCTTGGGTTCTTGAGTAATGTGATCTTAAATGTGAACATATGATCTTAGCTATTTCTATTTAATTTTTCTTTACAATTTAATTTATTCTGTCTCTCTGTCTCTGTCTCTCTCCCGTGTGTGTGTGTGTGTGTGTGTGTGTGTGTGTGTGTGTGTGTATGTATACCACCCCACATGGAAATCAGATGACAACTTGGGGTAGTATGTTTGCTTCTTCAAATATGTGGGTCCCAGGTATCCAAATCAAGTTACTTTACTCAGTAGTAGGTGCCTTTTACTGGCCAAACCATCTCACATGACTGTGAACTTAGTTCTTATATTTCAGTATGAACACAAAAAGCTATGCATATCTGATGGAAAAATATTTGTAGAAATTTATAGTTTTAAGTCTTTTTATAGGATCAAATCTTTGTAACTTCATTTATTTTGCTTTTATGCTGTCTGATTATTCTCACTTTTTTCTACTACATGTCTTCTAATCTTTATTGTGTTCACAATTATAAATTACAGATTGTGAACACACTTATAACCAAGTATGCTCACAATTGCTATAACCTAAAGTTTGAGAAAACATT